CAGAGACAGACACACAGAGAGAGAGAGAGAGAGAGAGAGAGAGAGAGAGAGAGAGAGAGAGAGAGAGAGAGAGAGAGAGAGAGAGAGAGAGAGAAGCACCTCCTGGTGGTGGGCGATGCCCGCGGGTGTGTCTGTTTCATTCACCGCAGGCCACCTTTCCAGCTGCCAACGGGACCGGCTCCGGCCCCTTCCTGGCAGGTGTGTCTCTTTGGCTCCGACCCTTGGAGAAAAATAGCGGGCGCGCTTTTCCCGACGGGGCACACTTTCCCCGATTTCACCAACTTTCGTGATACGGACTCAAAAAAAAAGAAAAGAACCGGGTAATGAAAAGCGGCCCTGAGGTAGACCTCGCGTGAAATGGCCGGTTTCTCCCCCCAGGAGGTTTCTCTTGGGCCTGCAAGAAGCGTCACGCGAGGTCTACATTTTGCTTTAGGAGGTATAGAGATAGAGAAAAAAAAAACTGGGAGTCAGTTTGCATCTGTTCACTGTGTTCAGTGTGTTGTCAATTTCTTTCTGTTTTTAGAACGTTTTGGTAAGGCATTTAAGGCACACTCACTCTAGCACTTTCCTAACCGTATCTGGCTGCAATTACGGCAACACCTGAATGAATCTGACTGCAATCACGTCCAAAGCTTAGTAGAAAAAGTCCTCGTGTGAGCATGTCCTTCCATGATCAAATCCTTCCCCCCCTCCTCCCGCCTTGTTTTTTGTTTGTTGTTTGCCAGTTTGAGTGACAGCACGTGTGGAGATGGGGGATTTAATTGGGAATGCAGCAATTTCGTCATCATCGTTTACGGTTCTGCGGGTGATTGCACGTGTTGATCTCGATGAAGAATCTGGTCGAGTTGACGTTTTTTTGCATGCTTTTTTTTCTTTTTTTCTTTTTGTTTTCTTTCTTTCCTGTTTGGAAGGGGGTAGCCCGTAAATTTAATGTGCCCCTGTCAGAGTTCACGCTCATGATGTATTTGCCGCAGTTGGAGTATACTCACACTGGTAGGCCCTCAAAATGGCAGAATCGCAAAATGAGCGGCCAGATCTAGTAGGGACTCCATCCGGCCACTGATTTTCCAATTTTGTGATTTTGAGGGCCTAGTATTTTATTATGCCCTTAATGTGTGTAGTGCCATTCCACCACAGGCCATGTACCTGTCTCTTATACACATCTAGATGTGTATAAGAGACAGATTCAAGGGTGAGCA